GTGTGCAGGCCGACGCTCTATCCACTGAGCCACACCAGCCAGGCCCCCTACTATTTTTTTATTCCTTCATTTGTCTCTATTACTTACTTTGTGTTAATATAGAGGCTCCTGTTCTAAAGTGTGTTTCAAATTCAACAAAGTAGTCCCGGGGCAGACCTCCTGTCCCCAGCTCTGGTGGTGGTGGGATGGGGGGGCTGGGGGGTGGGGGTGCTGAGGAGTCAGGATCTCTGTGCAGTTTGCTTACTGCCGCTGGGGTGCCCTGTGTAGTGCTCAGAGCTGAGCATTTGCACGTTTCATAATCATGAGTTCAGCCCGGCCGGCGTGGCTCAGTGGGTGAACGTCGACCTATGAATGGGGGCTCAGGGTTCAAGTCCTGGTCAGGGCACAGGCCTGGGTTGCGGGCTTGATCCCCAGTGTGGGGCGTACAGGAGGCAACTGATCTATGATTCTCATCATTGATGTTTCTGTCTCTCTCTCTCTCTCTCCCTTCCTCTCTGAAATCTGTGTATAAATTTATATTTATATTTAAGTGAAAGCAAACAAGGATGTGCAGCAGAAGCTGATGTGGCCAGAGCGCCTGCAGGCCTGACTGTGGCCTTCACGGTGGACGCGCCGACCTAGTCACAGACTGGGTGGTGCCGTAATGGTGGGGTTTGCGGCCTCCCCGCCCCCCTTTCTGCACGGAGACTTGCCAGGGGCTCCCCACCAGCCCCCCTTTTCTGCACGTCCTGTCCGAGAACCAGCCCCTGGGTTGTTTTCCCTCTTGCATAAACTTCCACGTGCCGTCATCTCACTTTGCTTCTTTCTTTGAGTTCAGTGTGCTCTTTCCTTGGGTTTCGAGGTCCTTTACAACATTCACGTGTGGGGCTGTCCGCCTCCGGGCGGCACGGCTGGTTCTGCAGCCCGCGCCCTGGGTCTGATGGCTCTCGCCCTGTGCTGTGTCGTCCCAGCAGCTGCACCTGTACCTCCCAAGCAGGGGGACCCTGGGCACCTGCCGTAGGCCGTCTGTCTCAGCCAGGAGGGGGCGGGGGGGCGGCGGGCGGGGAGCTGGTGTTTGTACACATGCCTTTGGGATCTGTTTCCACCTTCGTTTTCCCTCCTTCCTGGCCTCCCAGCCCGACGTTGTGAGCTTCTACCCGACAGACCGTATTTCGTTGGCTCTGAGTGCGTTTTGTCCCGCGTTGTAGCGTCCTCAGAGGGGGTGCGTCTCAGGACCGCCGGGTGTCACTCTCACATGGGTGGCGTCTCTGTCTCTGGCACCTGACTTCCACGCTGAGTGCCCTGTGGTCGCAGCGTAGACTCGCACCCCATCGTTTTAAAAAAATACGTTTTCATTGATTTTTAGCGAAAGAGTCATCGATCCCCTGCTCTTGCCTCCTGCACGCCCCCTGCTAGGGATGGAGCCTGCGACCCAGGCACGTGCGCTGACCAGGAATCGATCCAGCGACAACCTCCTGGTTCATAGGTTGACGCCCAACCACTGAGCCACACCAGCTGGGCAGGTCTTTGGCTCGTTTTAAACCTGGGCTGCTCCTTTTCTTACCGTTGGGTTTTGAGAGTCCTCTGTGAGGTATTTCGATGCAAGTCCTTTGTAAGACCTGTGACTGGCGAGTCCTTCCTCCAGCCCACACCCAGCTGGCTTTCCATCAGTCCCGGACAGGAGCTGTTCATTGCGATCAGCCGTGTAGCCATTAGTTGCTGATGGGGTGCCTTTAGCCATGTCTGCGCTTTTAGCTGAACCCAAGATCGCAAAATTGTCTCCTGTTTCTTTCGAGGAGTTTTACCAGTTTGTGTCTTAGGTTCAGGTCTGCGATGGTTGTGGTTGTGCGAGGGGAGGCTGAGACGGGGCGTCTCTGTGTGACCAGGCGCTCCCCTCCGTGGAGAGCCGGGTGCGCCTGTCGCCGATCCGCCAGGCGTGTTCGTGTGGCCTGTTTCTGGGCCGCGAACTGCCTCCAGTTGGTGTGAGTCAGCACCTTTCTCTCCGCCCCGTTTCACATGGCATTTTTCTGTGTAATTAAGGACTGGGGCCGCGGCTCTCAGCCTTCTGGCCCTCTACATGCAGCTCCTCATGTGGTGACCCCCAACCATAACATTATTTTCGTGGCTGCTTCATAACGGTCATGTTGCTACTGTGATGAATCGTCATGTAAATATCTGAGATGCAGGATGGTCTGGATGCAGGATGGTCTGGGGCGACCCCTGTGAAAGGGTCGTTCGACCGCCAGAGGGGTCGCGACCCACAGGTTGAGAACCGCTGGACTAGGGGGTCAGCTTCCTACTTCTGCCATTCCAACAAGAGGCAGATACTTCTGTGGGGGGGGCACCCCCCGTCCCTGCCCGGCTCCAAAGCGGGGGCTGCCGGGGCTGCCCGGGGTCTCACCTGGTGGTTCCCCAGACGCTGTGAACGTGTTTTTCTTTTTTGTGGTAAAATACACGTCACAGTGACCATCTTACCTTTTTTTTTGAATTCTTACCCAAGAATATGTTTTTATTGTTTTGTTTTGCTTTTTTAGGGGGGGGGGGGAGAGAGAGAGAGAGAGAGAGAGAGAGAGAGAGAGAGAGAAACATTGATGTGAGAGAGAAGCATCAATTGCCTCCCGTACTCACCCCGACCAGGGATCAAACCTGCAACCTAGGTATGTGCCCTGCCTGGGAATTGAACCCACAACCGTTTGACATTCGGGACGATGCTCTAACCAGCTGAGCCACCAGCCAGGGCATCCTACTCATATTTTAAAAATAGATTTTTATTAATTTGAGAGAGGAAGGGAGAGGGAGAGAGACACATCAATGATGAGAATCATTGATTGGCTGCCCCCTGCACGCCCGCACTGGGGACCGCACCTGAAACCCAGGCTTGTGCCCTGACCGGGAGTCGACCTGTGACCTCCTGGTTCCTAGTTCAATGCTCAGCCCCGGAGCCAGGCCGGCCGGGCCACCCTACGCCTTTCTGAGCTCACGGCTCAGCGGCGTCGGGCACCTCCAGGCTGCCGTGCCGCCGCCGCCGCCATCTCAGGACTTTCTCATCGTCCCAAACAAACTGCCCCACTGAACACTCATGCCTCCCCCTGAGCCCTCCCCACCCTCCCCCACCGTCCACTTCCTGTGTCTGTGGATCTGAGTCCTCCAGGGGCCTCGTCCGAGTGGGATCCACACAGGACTGTCCTCCTCAGGATGCTGCCCCAGGTCCTGTCTTCCTCACTGGCCGACGCAGCAGGTCACAGGGTCACCGAGGCCGGACAGCAGGGCCCAAGGCACACGGGGACCTTCCGAACCCACCGGAGCCCTGAGGGCCACCCAGGTGTCCCATGACCACACCTGCGTTTTCTTGGCCGTGTGACTGTGCCCACTCGTGAGGCGGCTGCTGTTGGTCCTGCCGGAACCCACCTCCCACCTCAAGAGCAACCACTCACCTCCAGCGACAGCTCATTGCCTCTCAGGTGCCTCCCGCCCGTGTCCTGGGCCCCATGTTTGGAGCCCACGCCCCGGAGGCCCCGGGGCTGCTGGCTGAAGTGGGGCCGTGGGTGGTGAGGGCCGCAGCCCCGCTCAGGAGCCGGTCCTCAGTGGCAGGAGGCCACTGGGCCCCTGCTCTGGGGACCTCGGTGTCCTGGGCGGAGTGTCTGCAGCGGCCACGCCCCCGCCCGCCAGAGGCGGCCCCCCCTCGCCACCCACCCAGAGGCCACAGGGACACGGCCGCCCATCACCACCTGGGCACAAGCTCCCCGATTTCCAGAGCCCAGTTGTAGCGGGGAGGAATCGGAGCACCTCTCCAGATGCACCCCCTGGGGGCTGGGTATTTTTAGCTGGCGTGGCACTGGCACGTGCCCAGCAGGAACAGCGAGCAGAGCACTCGCCTGCTCTGGATCTGACGTCTCTGGCTCTTGGGGGCTGCGCTGGGGGCCGGCTGGGCACAAGGCGTGCTGTTTAGAGAAAGCGCAGGACGGAGCAGCAGACCCAGGGCTCTGTAAACGCTGTGGGCGCCAGGCTGCCTGTCTGCTGTGCCATCCTCGCGGCTGCGGGGGGTGGCGGGGGCAGGAATTGTTGTAAATGCCGTGGGGTTTTCCTGCACCCCAAGTGCCCGGGGCATTCCGGGTATGGAAGATTCTCTATTGCTCTCGGCTGATCCCCACCAACCCGCTGTGTCCCCCCCACATGCCTCATGGGGAATGCCCCCGGACTCCGCCCTCATCTGTGTGGGCCGAGGTCTGCTAACTGGGGGATCCCTTCTCTCCTCCTGGAATTGGGCCGCAGCTGGACTGGCCGGTGCCTCCCTACAAGGGTCTGAGCCAAGGACATGGGGGGAGCAGTGGCCTGGGGCCCCTGGGTGGGGATTCGGGGCAGCTTCAGACCTGGTGGGGCGGGGCCCTCTGTATTCAGTGTTGGCACCACCCTGCCTGGCCCTCCCCCCTCATCTCCTGGCCCTGGGGCAGCAGTGGGCGTAGTGGGTGCCCAGCAAGTGCCCTGTAGACCTGCCTCCTTGAGCTCCCACCCGGCCACCATCCCCCCACTGTAGCTCAGGGATCCCTAACTGCACCCCACTCCCTCCCCCGTGGTGCCTGTCAGGAACATTCGCAGCTGCTGCATCTGCCCACCTGTCATTCTGGCTGGCAAGTGCTTAGCAGACACGATGGAGCCGCCTCTCGCCAGGTTAGGATGTTGCTTCCTCCGGGAGGTGCCACTCATGGAGGGGCGGTGCCCCCACCTGTGGGCCCTGCCTGAGCCTTTGCTGGTCGATGCTCTCAGGAGCCCCCTGGGCCTCGGCAACTTATTCTGGGGCACACACGGCGCAGCGGGCATCCCTCACCTGCCTTCCTCCACCCACTTGCTTATTCTGGTCTTCCCTGCAGACGGCAGGGTCCGCCAGGCTGGGCGGGTAGGGAGGGTGCAGAGTCGGGCACAGGAGCTCCGCCAGGCCTGGGCGGGGAGGGCAGGCTCTTCCGCCCTCCGTCCCTGCCCAGGCTGCTCCTGGGGACCCCTGACCGCGGGTTCTGTGCCCACAGTGCCAGAGAAGCCCGAGCCAGTGCCGCTGGAGAGCCGCTCCTGTGTCCTCATCCGCCGTGACCTGGTGGCCCTGCCCGCCAGCCTCATCAGCCAGATCGGGTACCGCTGCCACCCCAAGCTCTACTCAGAGGGCGACCCTGGCGAGAAGCTGGAGCTGGTGGCAGGTGAGGCGCCCCCTGGCCCGTGGGTGCGATGCCCGCTGACCCCTTCCTTCAGAGCCAGGAAGGGTCCTCATCGCCATCCGTCAGAGGGAAAGACAGAGCATCTCCTCTTCCTCTAATTTCCTGGCAGAAGAATGTGCCGTTGAGGGGGGTTAGTCCGTTGCATTAACTTAGCATTTTAATCGGATCTCCTGGGCTGGGCTGGCTTCTGATTGGCAGGGGCGGATTGCAGCCATGATGGTGGTGCAATTTAGGTCCAAGAGAACCAAGTCGAACACAGTTTGGAATCCGCTACCCAGACCCCCGACCCCCAGAGTGCACCCCGACCCCCAGAGTGCCCCCTGACCTCCCCAGAGTGCCCCCTGACCCCCCAGAGGGCCCCCCGACCCCCAGAGTGCACCCCTGACCCCCAGAGTGCCCCTTGCCATGTCTGCAGGGTGAGGTCCGGTGCTCTGAGCCAGTCAGAAGCCCATCAGGGCCGTGTCTTTGTCAGAATATTTATCTTTTATTTTTTTTATTGATTTCAGAGAGGAAGGGAGAGGGAGAGAGAGGGAGAAACATTCATGATGAGAGAGAATCATGGATCGGCTGCCTCCTGCATGCCCCACATTGGGGACCAAGCCCACAACCAGGGCCTGTGCCCTTGACCGGAACCGAACCCGGAACCTCCTGGTTCCTAGGTCGACGCTCACCCCTGAGCCAGGCCGGCCCGGCAGTATTTATCTTTTCAGGGGGATTTGCTCTTAGGCTGTCAGGCTCTTCGGGGGAAGACGATGCTGATGGCATGGCGCCCTCGCTGGTGACATGCCGCCCTTCCAGGGTCCTCTGCCCTCACCCACCTCGGGCGTCAGCATCTCTCGGGGCCAAGCCAGGGAGTTCCCTCGGGGCTGGGAGGGTAGCCAGGGACCGCCCTTGAGGAGTCACCGAGGCCGCCTCCCAGGTGACAGGGCCTCAGGGCCCTGGGGCCCCAGACCTGGGCCGGTCCTGCTCGCAGAGCTCAGGAGGCCCCCACTGCCCGCCCCCCGCTACCCCCGTCCCCCCCCACCCCCGCTGTGCCGGGCGGCGGCCTCACTGTGTGTCTGGCGCAGGCTCGGGCGTCTGCATCACGCGGGGCCAGCTCATGAACTGCCACCTGTGCGCGGGCGTGAAGCACAAGGTGCTGCTGCGCAGGCTGCTCGCCACCTTCTTTGACAGGTAGGTGCTCCCGCTGCGCCCTGAGCCGCCAGCCCCACCTTCCTGACCTCACCCTGAGCACTGAGCACGCAGAGGATGGGGGGGCCCGAGGGCGGGGGGCGGGGACCCTCCCAAAGTGAGGAGCCGCCTCTCCCCCAGGGCTGCTCCCCACTGTCCCCCACCCCTGGGGTGAGCACAGTCCCTGGGAGGCCAGGTGTCCCAAGCGGCCCAGCCTCACTCCTCCTCCCTTCCTCTGCCAGGAACACGCTGGCCAACAGCTGTGGCACCGGCATCCGCTCCTCCACCAGCGACCCCAGCCGCAAGCCGCTGGACAGCCGGGTCCTCAACGCTGTGAAACGTAAGGGCCCGGGGCCCGCAGGGGACGGGGCTCCGGAGGGGTGGCCGCCCCGGGTCAGTTGGGGTCGGGGGAGGAAGAAGGACGGCTCCCGGGAGCCGGGTCCCCAGGTGTGAGGAGTGCAGCTGCGGGACCTTTAACACGTGACATGGGTCTGAGTTTCCCTTTTGAACAAAACCCTTTCCTGACACGGGAGGTTATTTTGAGTCTTTGCCATCTGCTCGTCGGCTCTGCCTCCCACTCCTGGGCGCGTGGGGCGGAGCCCGGCCACGGGTGCAGACGCCGCCCCGCACCCGTCTGGGAGGAGCGCCCGTGCCAGGCGGGCCACATGCCAGGGTGCGTCCTCCTGAGGCCGTGGGCGCAGGTCACTGTCACAGTTTCCTGCTTAAACAGCATCTGTTGTTTCAGAGCAGAGGGGCCTGTGCAGTCGGTAGAGTGTGGGTGCGGCCGCTGCAGAGGCGGCGGCTGGGAGTCCGAGAGCAGCAGCCCCTCACGCCCGCCCCCCGTCCCCCCAGTGAGGGCAGCCCCTCACGCCCGCCCCCCGTCCCCCCAGTGAGGGCAGCCCCTCACGCCCGCCCCCCCCAGTGAGGGCAGCCCCTCACGCCCGCCCCCCCCCCGTCCCCCCAGTGTACTGCCAGAACTTCGCGCCCAGCTTCAAGGAGAGCGAGATGAACGTGATCGCGGCGGACATGTGCACCAACGCCCGCCGCGTTCGGAAGCGCTGGCTGCCCAAGATCAAGTCCATGCTGCCCGAGGGCGTGGAGATGTACCGCACGGTCATGGGCTCCTCCGCCGGCGTGGCCCTGGACCCCGAGTTCCCGGCCGCGGCTGCGCAGGTGTTCGAGCAGCGGCTGTACGCGGAGCGGCGGGGCGACGCGGCCGCCATCGTGGCCCTGAGAACTGACGCCGTGAACGTCGACCTGGGCGCCCCGGCCAACCCCCCCTTCGAGGCCGGAGAGGAGGCGGAGGGGGCCGGCTCCGTCATCCAGGAGGTGGCCGCGCCCGAGCCGCTGCCCCCCGACGGCCAGAGCCCCCCGCAGCCCTTCGAGCAGGGTGGCCCCGGCTCCCGGCCCCCGACGCCCGCGGCCCGGAGGCCGGACGGCGCCTACCCGGGGACTCTGTAGGGGCCGGGCGCCGGGGACAGGACGTCCTAGCTGCTTGCATGCGTTACTAATACGAACAATGTGATCGAGCCACTCACCTACTGAACGGCTGTTGCCTGAAAACAATGTGATTTCTGTTCTGCTTGTATTTAAGGTTCATGAAGGGGACAGATGCACTCGGGACACTGTAAGCAAGTAGGCCCCTGGCTGCCGCCCCGACGGCCGGCCCCTTGATACGCGCGGTCGGTCTCCACGTGTAGCTTCACCCCCTTCTCAGACGGGACCTGCCCGAACCCCACCCCTTCCTGCCCCTCTGCCAGGACGAAGCCAGGGACCCGCCCGCCCTCTTGCGGCTGGGCCCCCCAGGGCCAGACGCCTTGTGTTTCCTTCCTCCTGCGACGGGGTCAGGCCGGCCTGGCCCGAGTGCGTGTGGGAGGGTGACAAGCCGTGATGGGCCTTGCTGTCCCGGGAGAGGAGAAAGGGCTCCTGGCTGGACCTGGGCTCGCCCCAATGCCCGCCCCCCCCCCCCCCCCCGCACCTGGGCCCCTCTGGCTCCTGCCTGGCTGCCCGCTGGCCTGTGGGGTGGGGCCGCCCCCCGGGTGCCGGCCCTCGGCCTTGTTAGGATTCTGGGGGGGGGGGGGGGTCTGAAGTCAGCTCTTCCATACACGACTTGGGAACTTTCAGACCCAGAAGAGCAGACAGTGAGGGAGGACGGGGTGTCCCTGTCCCCGTCCTCTGTGGCCTGGGGGCGGGCCCTCTGTACACCGTGTCCCCCCCAGGCCAGGGTTTACGCACCTCCCGCTGGGGGCAGGCGGCCCCCGGACGGGCAGCCAGAGTGTGTGCTGAGGGGGAGGCCACTCAGGGGCCAGCCTGCAGGTGGGGGCCTGCTTGGTGAGGCAGGAGCCAGGCTGGGGAGCGTGGGACCCCCGTGCTGTGCTCCGACCCTTGGGGGTGCCCCACGCTGAGGCTGCGGGGGTGGGCAGTGAGCATGGGCCGAGCAGGCAGGTGGCAGGGCGCCCGGACAGCAGGTGCGGAGGCTCAGGGGCACGGGGAGGGCGGCGAGGAGGGGCCCATGGGGTCGGTGTGCTTGAGTCTGCGACGTTCCCTCTGCAGTTTAGTTGCTGGTTTGGGGAAGGAACAGGGCTCCTGCGGCCGCTCACCAGGGCCTCCGTGTCCGGTCCAGGGGCTGCCTTCCTCCCAGGTCCCGGCAGCGCTGCCAGGTGCCCTGTCCCGGCTCCGCCTCCCCGGCCCCTCCACCGTGTGTGACTCAGGACCCAAAAGCCAAGGCCCCCCAGCGCCGGGCCACACGGGGCCCCAGGGTGGGGCGGCCTGGGGTGGGGGGAGCTCCTTCCAAGGCTGCACGAAGCCCCCCAGCCCCCAGCCCTGCCACATGTGTGCCTGGCCTCCAGAGAGATCTGACAGCTTCCGGAAGGGGTGGGCACCTGGGGGGCGGGACCCTGGGTGGGCAGCCACCCGGAGCTGAGCTCAGTCCCTCCACCACTGTCCCACCTAAAGGGGCTGCGGCTCTGGGGGCTTCAGACCAGTCACCTGGCCTCTGCTCCCCCTCCCACCCGCCCAGCCCATGAGGGACCAGACTTGCGTCCTCCTGGAACAGAGAGGAGGCCGTACCCTCGGCACCTCAGGTGGACTCGGCCCTGTAGGTGGTGGGTGAGGCTGACCCCCCATCTTCCCCTGGAGTTTCCTTGATTTGCTCCCCCACCCAAATTTGCACTTTAATTTGACCCTCCCTGGGGACCCTCGGGCCCACCTGTCCCGGCTGTGGACAGAGGGCTCCCTCTGTCTCCCTCTCTCTCCTCCACCCCAAAGCGGGCACGGCCGCCCGCCCAGGGCCAGGAAGGGAGGGTGCGCTGGCCGGCGGTGGCCACACAGAGAAGGCCTGGCCGCGGCTCAGGCCAGCACAATGTCCGTGACCTCTGCCCCTGAATTGTTTATCGTCCGTCTGCTTTGTTGTTCTGGGTGAGGAAGGCCCCGTGCAGGTGGAACTTGAATCATTCAATGTGAATGGGTCTGAGCTCTCCCGGCCCCAGCCCCGGGCGGCCAGGCCGAGCGTTTTGCACTAGTGTCCCGCGGTGGGCGTGGGTCCAGAGTGGTGGCCGGTGGGCGTGGCTGATGATTGTATGTGCTGGCGCCCCCGCCCCGAGCGTTCCTGGGGGGCATGGCCTGGCTCGCGGGGCCTTCCAGAGTGCCTTAGCACCTTTGATCCTTTCCCTGTGACCACACCTGCCTCCCCTCCTCTGTTTACACGACGACTCATTCCTGTCCTGTCGGCTGACCCTGACCCCCACCCTGTAGACGGAGAGACAAGCCACTCAGTATCTGTGAGAAGCTGCGCCTTCACCCCTGAGCTTGACTGTTAGCGACACGCATCTGCCACGCGTCTGTCAGTGAGTCCTAGCGGCACCTCGAGGAGGAGCGGGCACTGATGTGTGTCGCCGGTGCGGCGGCCGCGGGCCTGGGGTCCGGCCGCGCCCCACCCTCCTGCAGGAGGCGGCTGGGGTGGTGGAGGGAAAGGTCCCTGGGTCCCACGGGAGGGACCGGCAATGGGACCGATACTGTGAGTGCGGTGGGGCCCGCCCGGCCGGCTGCCTCGGTACTTGAATTCTGTCTTGTGTTCTGCACTGTGTCTGGCCTCGGCCAGAGTTCTCTGTGGTCACTAACTGTGCATTGGATCCTGTTGTCTTACTTGCCCTGACTGTGGATGCCGCCGCGGGCGTGAGGCGGGGAGAGCCCTTGGGGGGAGCCTGCGGCCCTTCCCGGGCTCCCGGGCTCCGGGGCGGGTGACCCACGGGTGGGTGGCCGGGCAGGGCTCCTGAGCCTGGTGGGCTTCTCCTTCAGGAAAGTTCCTTCTGTGTTTGTGTTGAGAGCTGGGAGGGAGACGGGAGGCTGGGGTCCCTGGGAGGGACTCTGGGGTGCGGCCCTGGCCTGTCCCCAGCGGGTGGCAGGATTGGCCCAGGGCCGGCCTCCCGGCAGTGGCTGCTGAGATTCCCCTTCGACGGGTGATTTTTATGGCAATGTCTTGCCATAGGGAAAGGCCGATTACCCACAAACCACCTGAAAACTAGGAGAAAGCCTGTTGCCTCGGCCACAGTACCCCCCCCCCCCCCCCGCAGAACGGGGGTGCAGGTGCCCTGAGCTCTAACTGCTGCTGCCGGACCCGGCCCCGGCCGCCTCCACACGGCACCCCCACATGGCACCCCCACACGGCACCGGGGACCGAGGCCGCGAGGGCTTGTGCACGCTGTTTCTAACCTGGCAAAGGTTTTGGGCTGTTTGTTTGTTTGTTGTGTTTCTTTGGGGAAAAAAACCTGAAAAGGAAAGTTATGCAGAATCTAAAGATTCGGATCGGACCACCTGCTCAAACTCTGATCAGTCGCTTCCTTGTTCGCGTTTTGCACATGACTGTAATTTTTATGTCCACAGAAGCCAAAACTCGCAATACTATTTTTAGCAGAAAAAAAAAGAACTCAGTGTAAAATCGTATAAATATTTTTGACTTGAATCTTTGGATGACACTGGGTGCAAACAGACCCTCCATCCTCCGGACGGGATGTTTGGGGCAAAGACTTTTCCCGGGAGCCGGTGGCTGTGAGGCTGGTGTGGGGTGTGGGACGCTGCAGCTCTGACCGTTAACCGCCAGTAACCAGGCTCGCAGGCTGTGCTGGAGGCGGCGGCTGCACGGAGGCACCACTGCGCTCGCCCCGGCCTCAGACGCTTTTTTTTTTTTTTTTTTTTTTTTTAAGAAGGAGGAAACCTTGGTCCTCGCTGCGCCAGGCTCCGGGCTGTCGCTTCTTAGCCGTGGCTGACGCTGTACCAATAACTCAACCCACAGACACGCCCGCCGGCAACCACCCAGCCGGGCTCCTGGTGTGCCCAGAGCCACTCCGTAGAGTGGACGTTCGTGACAGACAGACAGAAGGACATGACTGGTCATTGTAAAGCGCTTTGTAAAGTTCACATTTACAGAATAATAAAGTCAGTTCAAACCCGCGTGGCCTGGGCTTTGCTTGGACGGGTGGGTTGAGGGGGGACGTGGAGTAGCTGGGAGGGGGCTGGGGTGCCAGGGGCAGAGTGTCCAGCTGTCCCGAGCTGCCCTCAGGCCCCGGGAGCCCCGGTGAGGGGAGGCTCACTGTCCTCTGTCCACACCTGGCCGCTCTCCTTTCCCACCACGTCTTCTGGGGGCAGGGGCTGCCGGGCAGGGTGGCCTGGGGGTCAGGGGCTGCGTGAGGGCCTCCCTTTCTTCCTTTTTAAAATCCTCACCCGAGGATATTTTCCATTGACTTTGGGGGAGAGTGGAAGCGAGAGGGGAAGACAGAGAGAAACATCGATGTGAGAGAAACACATCGATGGGTTGCCTCCTGCACGAACCCCCACCAGAGCCTGGGCTGGGGAGGAGCCTCAAACCAAGGTATGTGCCCTTGACCGGAACCAAACCCAGGACCCTTCAGTCCACAGGCCAACGCTCTATCCACTAAGCCACACTGGCTGAGGCTCATTTTCTTCTCTGCAAACTGGAAGAGCCACCTCACCTGGCTCACCTACCTGGCTCACCTGCCTGCCTCCCATGCCCAACCTCCTGCTGGGTCAGGCCTGCCCCCGGGTGGACCAAGGGGGAACTGCAGGTGGGTGAGCAGGTCACCTGGCCCTGCGAGCCCTGGAGCCAGGCGTGGACTCCACCTCCCAGCTGCCGAGGAAGTGTCCCTCTGCAGGCGGAGTGGGGTTCTGGGGTTCAGGCCTGGCCCCTCTCCTCTGCTGGAGCCACGGGGTCTGCCTGAGCTCCCCCTGGGCCCTGGCGGCCACACCTGGCATCGGGGTGTTCGGTGGGTGTGGTCGCTGGCCCTGCATTTGCCTCCCACAGTGGACACCTGCCAGCAGGGCCTCACTCCCTCTGTCCCGGGAGGGTCTGGTCCAGAGGGGCCACCCCCACCTGGCCTCTCCCCCTTTCTTGGGCCTCGCAGCTCCCGGTCTGCGAGCTGGGATTCACGCTGCTTGTTTCGGGGGCAGACTCTGGCGCTGCTTTGTGGGGCTGTCCCCAGGTGAGGGGTCCCCTGGGAGCACGGAGCAGGCACGGGTCTCAAATGGATGGACATGGTCACGAGAAGGGCCTCTCGCCACCGAGAGGGGACTCTGCATCAACGGGTGCTGGTCTGGGGCCGCCCTGAGCCACCCCTCCCCCAGGAGGCCCAGGAAGCCTGTCTCCCCCCCTCCCCCCGCCCCTGCCAGCTCCCCACCCCCTAGCTTACCCCCCCCCCCCTCGCATCCACTCAGCCGGGTGCAAGCCCCTCCCCTCAGGCCTCGAAGCCGGTGGACGGGGTGGCTTCCGGGTCACCCCCCTGGGCCCGTGGAGACACCAGCCTCTGGGCCATGGACAATCAGGAAGGCCCCTCACAAGTCCCCACCGGGCAAGCTTGGCCCCTCTGCGGTCAGGGCAGCTGAGGCCCACGGTGTGTGGGGGTGGGGCGGGTATGTGGGGCGTCTTGGGCAAAACCCAGGCC